AAATTTTTAATTAATTCGAACAGGGTCATACATGGATAGTGATTTTTATTTATTGCTTATGTAGGTGCTTATGTATGTGGTTATTGCTTATATATGTAGAAGTTCACGGCCCACCTGGTGTTAAGTGGTTACCGGAGCCCTTAGACATCTACTACGTAAATGCCACCATCAGCCTTGAGATATAAGTTCTAAGGTCTCAGTATAGTTACAACAGTTGCCCCACCCTTCAAACCGAAACGCATTACTTATTTACGGTAGACAGAGGCAGGGTGGTGGTACCTACCCGAGCGGACTCACAAGAGGTCTTGCCACCAGTAAAATAACCACCAGTAAATTTATCATGAAGAAAATATTTCCAAGAACTTATCGTGCAGAACGTTTAGCATGCGCCTCATTTTCGCTTAACCCTCTACGGCTGTCGTCATTAGGCGACGAAGCGAAAATTTTATGAGATACATCCATAGACATAGTATGTATAATACATTGCCTTCCTCTCAAACACTTAGGGCCTATATTTCCGAACGCGCTTAAGGCTAGTTCGAAACATTATTCTTTTATTCTATACTAGCTTTTGCCCGCGACTTTGTCCGCGTGGAATAATTACTTTGGCATAACGCTAAATTTTACCCACCTCTTCATTTACTTAGAAAGTGAAAATATTTTTTAATAATAGAATGTTAAGGAGTTATAGTATAGATAGGTATAGGAATATACGACAAAGGGAAGATCTTCCACCGAGCGGGTGATATTTGCTCGGTAGACCGACGGTCCGAATGTTGTTGTTCGGAACTTGTATATATGCGCTTTATCTTGAAAATGTCGTAAGCGAGATTCAGGCACCTGTCAATTATCTTGCGTTGTATGATGGCTACCCGCCACAATAGGTATTATGTATACATTTTTTTTTGGATTAGGCAAACACTTTTATGGATAATTGTATTAAACGGGAGCCAGCAGCTTGGCTCTGGCCCTGGCATTGCTGTAGTCCATGAGTGACGGTGACCACTCACCAGCAGTTAGGCCGTAGGTATACTCCGTCTCTCTACACGGGCATTAAAAAAAATACCAGTAACTAAAGCGTTAAGTTATGCACTAACTCCTTCCACTATCACCGACTCAACATTCTCTTTGTCTCCTCGACTGAGAGCTGACAAATTTCATTAATGCCTTCGAATTTAAGGCCTTTTGTATTACTTATCGCGTTAAGTGTTATTTTAAAACGAGGAGTGTAATTTTTGGAAACTTGAAATGACGCTCGTGAAAATATTGATAAATTACCACAATTTCTTCTGCATATATGCTAGAAACAAATAAAATGGCGTCACTGATGACTCGACTTCGGAAGTTAAATAGCCCTATTAGGAGACATTTTAGGGCTTCCACAAAATGTTCGATAATTGTTTGTATATTTTAGAAAATGTATTAAGGAATGTATGTGCATACGTGCAACAAGACATATAGATAAATGATTCACCAGAATAGCACTATTATTATTATAATAAGAGCCTTGCAACTTTTTGTGTACCTGTATATCTTTTTATATAATATTAAGTGGAGGATTAAAAGGTACTTTTTTTATAAACAAGCTCGCTGAGTTTGATTCGCGGATTCTTTTCACGACTGCGATTTTGGATCTGCTGGTCAAGTTTACGTTTATATTCAATATATAAAACGATATCCGTGTTCGAATTATTATTATTGCATTAAAATACGTGGAGGTGTTCACCGCCCACTTGGATTGAGTGGTTATCGCGATCCACGGACAAACGTGAATGCAACCACGTCAAAATAGGAGATTGGATTGTGTATATTATCCTTGAAACAGGTACAAACGACTGCTTCGCGGGAGAAATAGGCAGAATGTTACCTGAATCACAGGTTTTTGGGATGGAGAAATTGCTGGTGATCGAGTGGCATTTCCAGCTTCACTGGGATAAGTTGGCTCAGCTAGGAGGGGAAGGTTTGCTAAGAGATCCTCAGGAGGGTACTCCTCCTAAGGGGGCCTGCTGGCTCCAGGCAGCTGTTCGCGATTGCATCTACTATCTGGATGACAAGTTGTGATAGCCAATTATATTTATTACTAGCTTTTGCCCGCGACTTCGTCCGCGTGGAATAGTTACTTTGGCATAACGCTAAATTTTACCCTCACTTCATTTACGTAGAAAGTGAAAATACATTTTAATTATAGAATGTTAAGGATCTATTTGAACCCCCTATTTTGAAACATTCTTCATTGGTGCTCCACTTGTATTGGTCTTACCGTGATGTTATATGGCCTATAATAGCCTTCCTCCATAAATGCGCTAACTGTCACTGAAAGCATTTTTCAAATCAGATCAGTAATTCCTGAGATTAGCGCGTTCAAACAAACAAACTCTTCAGCTTTATAATATTAGTATAGATGTACACGATTTTGAAATCTAATATACCTGAAAAAAATACGATTGTAATCGACTGATACTTTAATAAAAATCAAGATCTATTAAAAAAAACGTTGTGTAATATGTTTTAAAAATACATTTATTTAGTGATAAAAGATAGCGTATGCGTGCAAAGAAGAGGTTCCCAAAAGATAATTCGATACATACTTAAAATGGAACACAGCATTTTATTGATTTGGCTCAATTTTAATTTGATTGGGCCTCGCTTACTTAATTGGTAATACTTCATAATAATTAACGATTTAGTTTAAGATACAGTTTGTTTATATGGATTAAGGACGAACTAATAATCAGGATATTGAAAAACGAACAGAATTCATTCACGCGATCATAGACTCATTAACCAAAGCCGATTGATTTTAGGAGTGCAGTGACATTGAGACCGCTTCAACGATTGCAGTCAAACATTGAAAAGGTGATATACGGTCACCTATCCCAGTATAAAATATTCAACAGACAAGATTTCTTTCATATTATCACGGTGTTTGGTTGCTGATAACTACATATTTGAGAGCACACGTATGTACGCTTGCAAAGATAAATATGTTTACATTGATAACTTCGATTCCAGCGCTGTGTAAAATAACTGTTTATGTACGATTTACGATATGGATAATTATGCTAAACATAATATATATATATGGTTCTGGTGAGGATCGTAGCATCTGGCTTTTAAAATTGTACTTACATCGTAACTTATTAACTTCTACCGTGCTATATCTTAATTACCATTATGTGGACGTCTAGAGAAATCCGTACGAAATAGAAAACCTTAGCTGTATACGAAGTGTAAAATAAATGCGCTGTATTTTTCTATATATTACTTGAATAAAACTATTCAAAATGCCGTCATTATAAAATCAATTTATTTAAGTTTGTTTAGTTTAAAAAAAAATCTCAACTCGATGTTTTACGACCGAAGTGAAAAGCATGACGAAAATAAACATAGATAAAAGTGTAATTACTTCTGTTTAATTATTGAAACAATTCTTAAGGACTTGCTTGTTTTATTACTTTGATGGGTGAATAAACTCATGACCCTCATATTAAAGCGCCAACGCCACCATCCTTGAGGCATGAGGTCGGTCTCAATTGTTTTGTATAACGGCAGTCTCGTTTCAAGCTGGAACGCATGACACTTCCCAGCAGGAATGGTGGCGAAAAGCCACCCTGGAGTGGTGGCCCCTATGCGGTCTCAAAATATGTGCATACTGTGCGGACGGGCTGTTTCATGCTGCATTCTGCAAAATCATTATCTCGTCTCGGCGTATTTCGACTGTTTTATTTGGTGATTCACGACAATTGACAAAAGCTATGTGGGTAGGACCTAATCTATTGTAGGGAGCTTGGCTTGCCCCTGGCATTGCTGAGGTCCATGGGCGACGGTAACCACTCACCATCAGGTGGGCCGTATGCTCGTCTGCCTACAAGAGCAATAAAAAAAAACTTTTTTCGTCGCTCAATTATTTACTTATTATCAAGCCACTATTAATTTGACTCTTGGCTGCCCCTAACTACATAATTATATTTTAGTATAGTAGATATTTTCCACGCGTATTAATTGAAAGGTTATAGCGATGTACCGATGACTTACATTCTTTTGGTATTTTAAGTAAAATGCCCTTGACAGAGGGCCATTCGGCTACGTATCCCTAAAATATTTGGACAATATTTAATGAGGCGTTATCTAGTGTGCGTCTCGGGCATACCGTAAATTCTTGTAAATGAATGTTAAAGAAACTGTTAGTCATCGGTTCACCATTCTATTGTATGCTAAACTAAAATGGTCATTATTTAAGTGCATTTTAGTTCATTCAAACTTGACACTAAAACGTGATAAGCGTATGAAAGTAACAGAATAGTATATGCTTTTAAAAAAAATATCATTCACGTATAATCGTGAATAAATTGTAGCAAATATCTTGTGACATTTATATAGGTACCTACAATTTAATTTGCATAATAAGCCGGAATCTATGTCAGCGGTTTGCTTGGACTTAGGTGTGCCCTTTCGAAGCCTTAAAAACATATATTAATAAAGGCATTTTTTGTAGTTATACGAATTGATTAGCAAGTACAAACTAATTTGTAATGGCATGTGTTTTCTGAGCGCTTCTCGAACCATGAGTGGCAATTCAATAACCCAATTCATTTGAGGAGCAATAAAAGTAATCTAATGGGTTCAAGGCGGCGAGTTCAGACATTACGTAGGCGCATGTACCCACTGGCCAGCTTTCTCTCAACGTGGGTGCTGGTTTGCTCTCATTCATAACTCGATGTTTACACGTTTACTATGGGAACGGAAACAACAATGCTAGACGCGACCAGCTAATCGATGGAATCGTAACTACGATAACGATTGTTTACCTACAGTTACTAACGTTCAAGGTAACTTGACTGCCTACGTCCGCGATGATTGCAGGACCGTTCTGTCATTGTTGACATTGAATGCAGTTACGCAAGTTTTGATGCAACTACATTTCGTATACCTTAAAACACGGTATCACGTCTCCCGTTTTAACAAAAAGCCGGGCGAACGCATTAAGACGGTCCCCTTACCTCTGTCGCTCGAACGTATCCTGCGAGGACAACACAAGACAGCCATATCCATATCCTCAAATGCATCACAACAGTGAACCGGACCGGTCGCACCAACAGTATTACACAAGAACACAACAATATCACGGCACAAAACAATTAGCTATGTTATAACACTGTCACCACGCACACGGTCGGATAGGCGTGTGATCCGGCATGCGGCGTCCAGCTATTGCTGTAGTAAACTGAGCGCCGCTTGGAACTGGGTTCAGTGCGATGTAGCGCGCGCCCCGCCGCCGATCGACGCAGACTTCACTCATGTGGCCCACGGTCGTCGCCCGATGGTCGATGTAACTCCATTTCGCGTCACGCACTCCTATTTATTACCGAGAATAATAGTCTTAGACGTCGACTCATAAAAGCATTCCCTAATTTTCTTTTCTTGCGATCGATTGCCCTTAGCTAATTCGGATAGTCGCGCGCTATTACCCGCAATGGAACATGCTTGTTCTATATTTGATCTCGGGACAGAAATACTATTGTAAGGGCGACGACCGCTTCGCCCTTTACCAGTGAAGGTAACAAACGTCAAAACAAACAATGCTATACTAACTGTCTAACACTACCTATATAAACAGAGAACGGCTGGCCAGTCTAAAAAAGTTGGTAGGTATTTTCCAGACGTCTGTCAGGCAGTCTAGACCTGAACTTGGCCTAAGATTGCATTTTAAAATTGTTTTGTTTAGGTACTTCTTTTTAGAAAATCATTAGCCTTTGGACGAGTAAACGGAAAAGTGAAGATCTTCCACCTAGGCTATGTACCTACATAGTTGTGGGATAGACCAACGATTCGAATGTTATTATTAGGAACTTGTACGCAATACTAGCTTGAACCTCTTGCCTTTAACGAAATTCAGGCATCTGTCAAATGCCTTATGTTTCTTTTTTTTTTTTTTTATTGCCTTTATAGGCAGACGGGCATACGGCCCACCTGATGATAAGTGGTTACCGTCGCCCATGGACTTCAGCAATGCCAGGGGCAGAGCCAAGCCGCTGCCTACCGCTTAATACTCTCCACAAGCCTCGTTTGAAGAACGACATGTCATAGCGCTCGGGAAACACCGTGGAGGGGAGCTCATTCCATAGCCGGATGGTATGTGGCAAAAAAGACCTCTGGAAACGCACTGTGGATGACCGCAGTGGCTCCAGGTAGTATGGATGAACTCTACGCCGGTGGCGGGCGGTGCGATGGTAAAAACGAGATGCTGGTATCATCTCGAACAATTCCTCAGAGCACTCCCCATGGAACATACGGTACAAAATACAAAGGGAACCGAAGTCCCTCCGCAGACCTAGAGGTTCCAAACGATCCGAGAGAATGGGATTATCGACAATCTGAACGGCCCTCCTCTGTATGGAGTCAAATGGAAGAAGCTGGTATTTGGGAGCCCCGGCCCAGAGATGGGAGCAGTACTCCACGCGAGGCCGGACTTGTGCTTTATAAAGCAAAAGTCTTTGTCCAGGCGTGAAGTACCGCTTCGTTCTGTTGAGGACTCCCAGCATTTTGGACGCCAACTTGACTTTGCCTTCCAAATGACTCCGAAACTGGACATCGCTCGAAATGTCGACCCCAAGTATCCCGATACTCTCGGAAGGTTGCAGGGATACTCCTTGGAATTTCGGCGCCATGACAAAGGGGTCCTTCTTCGCAGTTATGTTCTTGGCTACCCCCATTACACATTTAAAAAAGTCGATAATTTTCGTTCTAAAAAGTTTTGCTGCATCTACCGTTCCGTCTGGCTGCCTATAGGTCGCAACTTTGAGAGACTTACTAATTAGACTATTACTAATTATATATTAAATTTTAAAGGCTTACTTCACAGATCACCTATACACAATCTAACACTCGTCCAAGTCGACAGATAGGTATATATATGTAAAATGACGGTACTGTATCTGTTGGTCACGAAGCTGATATGCTTTAGAGTCTGAAAAGTAAGGCGGATTGATGTCTAAGCTCTTGTAAGCTCTTAATAAGTTATTATAACAACTAATACTTAACAACATGTGCCCAACTTACTTCGTCTGATCATCTGCTCCCACAATAAGAGTTGATACGCTCACAAATAAATATCTAGTAATTAATACTCGTAATTTTTCAATTCACTATTTACATACAATCCAAGGGACAGACTTACCTGCAAGGCAAATGGAAATAAAGGATTCATTGAGGCTGGATAAAAGCCAATACGGAAGAAGCGGATACATATTTCATTCAAAAAATCATCACAAATGAACAGGACTTTTGATTCGAACACAGGAAAAGAAATCCAAATGGGCACCAGAGAGATCCAAAACCAGAGAACACGGGTTTAGAGTATAATTATGTGAAAATTTTACGGCAATTGGTCTGTATCAGAAAATAGCCTCCAAAAAGAGGCCTCATTAGAATAGGTTAGAGGAAGTCTTTCCTGGGCTCACTGAATTAAAAAGTATTGCAATTATTAAAATATACAATAAAAGTCTGCTCAGTCGAACCCGTCGCTTGCGAAGAAGAGCTCGGCGAGTAAATTAACCCACAGACACAGCCCACTGAGTTTCTCGCCGGATCTTCTAAGTGGGTCGCGTTTCTGATCCGGCGGTAGATTCCGCGAAGCACTGCTCTTGCTAGGGTTCGTGTTAGCAACAACATCAGGTTTGAGCCTCGGAACTCATACACATTTTTACACAATGGATGCCGCCAACCACCTTGACACTTGAGGCCGAAGTACCATCTTTATTATATAGCGATTGTCACATGGTTAAAACTCGAACGTTTGTCTGCTTCGCGGCGGAAATAGACAGTATGTAGTACAAACCCGTACGAGCTTACGATATTGAATATCATCAGTAGGTAAATTAATATTATAAACTTCCAAAGGTTCATAAAATACTGTATAATTATTTGAGGCAGTCTTTTTGCGGCCATAATAAGGCTTGGCTTGTTAGTTTAAATTGAGGATGGTAATTAATCTATATCAAGCTCTATAAGAGCCTTGTGGTAAAAACTATTACTGGTGGCAGGACCTCTTGTGAGTCCGCGCGGGTAGGTACCACCACCCTGCCTATTTCTAGCGTGAAACAGTAAGGCGTTTCGGTTTGAAGGGTGGGGCAGTCGTTGTAACTATACTTGAGACCTTAGAACTTATATCTCAAGGTAAGTGGCGGCATTTTCGTTGTAGATGTCTATGGGCTCCAGTAACCACTTAACACCAGGTGGGCTGTGAGCTCATCTACCCATCTAAGCAATAAAAAAAAACTATTCAACGTATAACTCGTACCTTTCCATACGAAAATTCCACCCGAAATAGCCTGTGCCAAGTCCTGTGCCTAAGGAATGAACACTCGCGTATGTAGGGAGTATTTATATATTTCAGGGAAATTTATATATTTCAATGATACTCATAACGCGGCGGTAGCAAACACTGAACATAAGATATTTGACAGATACCGTAATCGGTACATACAACAATACAATAATTAATAAAAATATCAATTATTCATCCAAATACTATATTTTATCACCTTCAAAACATGCTCGCTCAGAAACCAACCAACATTACGCCAAAGAATAATTCAATCATCAAAATATTTTTTAAACGCTTTCTCCGGCTTGTTTATTAGTTTGCATGTCAAACTCGTAAGCCCACGTCTCGTCACCAGCAACAATACGTTTCATGAATGTTGGCTCGGAATTGACTCATTCTAGCATGTCCTTAGCAACTCTTAAGCGATTGAGTTTATTGAGAAAATTCAGGTCTTTTGGGATAATGGTAAAAAAATTAAAATGGTACGATAATATACTCGTGAAACAAAACGTTCGAGACTACCTCTCTCAGGAATGATTGGGGATTTTCAGTTAGTATATTATATTCTTCACTTTTGCGATAATAAGTTATAGCTATAAGTTGCAGATTATGAGGCCTACCAGAGCGAGCCAAGTCTTCTATCACATCTGGACCGCTTTTGAACGCTTTGTACCACTGACAATCACGTGTTTTCTCTAGGTCGACTCACCATAATCCTTCTCTAACATTTTCAATGACCCCGAACATGAAACTCCATTGGAAATGCAAAATTTAAGACAAACTCTATGTTCGATCTTTTGGTCCATTATGAAATTCGAAATACACACTAGATCTGATATAATTAAAAAACAGCACTGTATTTAATCCAAGCGACAAATGCAACTCAAGCTCCACACCAAAATGGAAAACAATTGTGCCAATCGAATATGTAACAAAAATAAAAATTAGCTTGGAACCTTAAACAACATCCATTCCCGATACTTTTTTGACTGAATGTGGTGTCTAAATCTAAGGTGTTTAAACAATCTAATATATAAAATTCTCGTGTCACAATGTTCGTTCCCATACTCCTCCGAAACCGCTTGATCGATTCTCATGAAATTTTTTATGCATATTCAGTAAGCCTGAGAATCGGCTACTATCTACATATTTTTCATACCCTTAAGTGATAAGGGTTGTCCACCCCTAAGATTTATTTTTTATTTTTTGGACAATTTTTTTTTTGTTATAATGAGACATTATGTGGTTGAATGAGGTATTGTTATTTTTATATTCCTTCATCGTTCACAGCGCTACATGCCTCTTTCACTCATCTACCACATCCTTACACACTTACAATAAGTTGGTTTTTTTTTTCTACACTAGAAATTCCCTAGAAATCTTATATATGGCAAAACAACGTTTGCCGGGTCAGCTAGTACCTATATAAATATAGGATAATTCTAAGTTGTAACTCAAAATGCAAACTCATGCAAAAATGGTATAGCGGATTTGCATGACATCATGCACTGCTATGATAATTTCGACGCTCATCACCGGTTCGTGATTTTACAAATCGTTTTGTCTATATTCGACACCACAGTGACACCAGCTAATATTTATCCTAAGAAAATGCAATGCTTTCCATTCTTTCCGACTTACAAGTTTAATGCCGGTGAATTCACAGGCACATCCTGTTTGATATAGATAAAATTTGAATTTTAACGCAAGCATCAATGCTGCTAGGTATATGAATTAGAAATTATTAGCCGAGTTATTCACGTATGATAGTATATTTGCGCTTCTAAAACGAGTATTTCATTTAAAAAGGCACTATGACTATTGTTGTATTGAAACTTCATTTAATAAATCTTTGATAAGTAATACTTAAATCAAATCCAATACCAAAGAGAAAAGTAAGTCTTTGTTCATTAATTTAACATATCAATACCAGCTCTATGTATTGATTTAAGAAAAATACTACACAAAAATTACTTTAGTTTTTTATTTTGAAATTTAGCAACTAGAGAAAATAAAAGCCGGAGAGTTTACTTAAAACAATATAAATTTTATATTCTTCTTTGTTTTGTAGGAATATTCTTAGGCCTTCGAAAACTATCACTATCGATGTCCAGTTCATTGGGGCTTTTCAATGTCAGACATTTGTTCTTTGTGACGCCTGATCGCATCCTCATGTCGTTTGATCTGCTCCTGGTGGAAGGCAATCTCCTTGTTCAAGTGCCCCTTCAGGTTTGCTAGTTGTTCCTTTTGCTGTCAATGAAAAAAACCCAGCTCAAATGTTGATTGATGATTAAGAAGGCATCTATAGCCCATGTATTTCATATTAACTTCAAGAGCGATACTGTCCACGTGGGTAAGTACCACTGTCCTCACTAATCATTGGTTCATATATGAAGTGTTCCCACATTTAAACAATTTATTTAATTGAAGCTTTAAATTTATTGTTGCCACTATTACGTTGCTCCCATTGCCACAAACCATAATTTAGGGATTAGATCATTTTAATCTATAGAATAAATAAATAACACTGTTCTATTCTACTATTATACACATAACTAAACCAAAAACAGACAAGCGAAATCTAGTTTTTCAAGTTAACGCAGGATTTTCTGGCAGTAGCTCCACATTCGATTGAAGGTTAACAGAATATCTATATCTTCTATCTATATATATAAAAATGAATTGCTGTTCGTTAGTCTTGCTAAAATTCGAGAACGGCTGGACCGATTTGGCTAATTTTGGTCTTCAATTATTTGTGGAAGTCCAGAGAAGATTTAAAAGGATTAGATAAATATGAAAATGCTGGGAATTTAATAAAAATAACAATTTTGTTTTCCTTTGTGGGTCCCCCGTCAGACAATTCCTTTTGTTTGTTTTAAGTTTATTTTATACAAAAGTTAGGTATTTTGTTTATCGATTGAGGCACTAGGAAGTCTGCCGGGTCAGCTAGTTTATAATAAAAGTGGTATAGCCTTTCCAGCTTCCAAAGTTTACATCTTATGAGACTAAAATATTCTATACCTTCTTGTAGAAGTATTCATCTTCTCTAGCAGCTTCCATTTTACCGAAGGTACCACCGGCTTCTCGAATCGAACCACCACCACCACCACCCTTACCGGCTCCAGATCCAGGTTCGCCTGCATACATTCTATAATCAAATTATATTAAATCCTACTATTGAGTTTAATATTTAATAAAAACATACTATTTGCCTTTCTGAGTTTTGCACATATATGGTTTAAGAATTTTAGGGTAAAAAGTTACTAATAAATCATCTCAAATAATTTTTCTGAATCTATGATGTAAATTTTAAAAGATGGTTGTTTTTTTTTTAAATAAGAACTGAAATTACAAATGTGGTTTAAATGGGGGATACAAATTGCCACACAATTAAAATATTATGATGATTCAGAGTTATTGTTTATTTTATTGCATCATTGACAATAGATGAGTAAATACCTAAATACCTACCTACCTACCATCTGTCTACTGAATGATTAAAAATGTGACTTTAAACAATGAAACTAAGAAATTGTTTTCATTTATTGCCATGCTCAAGTTTCTAGTCACAATGTATTAAACAGTACTCAAAAACCAAAAATAATATCAATTTACGTTATTGCAAAAGTAAAAAACATTTTCTAAATGCGCTTTTCAAATTTGTTGCGTAACCTGCCGGCCGCTTGTGGCTCTTGCTAAGCCCTTACCTAACATTGACGATAGCACGCACGAATGACGTTCTTGTTTTGGGAAGGAAATTCATGATTTTCGTTAATGTTTAAATTGTATCAAAATTCGCTGTGATTTTTCCAAATTATTCAGGATTTTCTATCAAGAATGACAAACCAGCACACTTGACGTTTCTCAAAATATCACTATGCTCTTGAAGCGTTCGAAAACATCTACCAAGTACGTTTTGAAAATAATATTTTAAAATTGAATTTAAAAATTTGTTAAAAAAATATTTAAAACATTTTTTATACTTAAGGAAAAATGATTAAACAAGACTAATGTTAGAAATGTTAGAATTAAAGTAAACGAGAAAAAGATTCAAACTAACGCCATCTGTTGTTTATTCACCCATAACACATGTTTTAGTTTTTGTTCAGCTATAATTTTATTTAATTCTGCAGTTTCTCTCATTGCTCTAATAACCTGCCTTTCTTCTTTTAAAGACTCCATCTTTATTTGCCTTTCCGTGCAGGTATATCTAAAAATGTGAGCGTGAAAATAGATAGGTCGAAACTAATTTTAATACATAGTTTAAAAAAAACGCTCTAGATGGCACTAAACGTTTTAAGCTACTAAATTTCAAAAATGTAATGGTACATTAGTAGACAACTAACTTTAAGAATTCTTTCGCTTGATTTCTGATCGTGTCATTCGTTTCATCATCAATATCTTCAAAGTCTGTCATTACTGATGCATGCCTTGATTTTTGTATGTTTTCTTCAACATCTCTGTTTTCTTCTAAAGCCATTTCAGTGTCATTGGCAGTCGAATCTTGCTCAGAAGTTGTACAAGAAGCTTCAAATTCTCGAGAATTTCTACTATTTCTATAAATTACTTCAAATGTAGACGAAGACGAACCATTTATATTTGTACCGCTGCAACATGACTGGTCAAGATCTCTAAATTAAGGAAAAAACATGTCAATTATTTTTTTGTTACTTAACAATACTTAGTATACGTACCCGAACGTAGATACCTAACCTTTGGGTACTGTGTATGAACGAAAAATACATCATAACTAGCTGACCCGGCAGACTTCGTAGTACCTCAATCGATAAATAAAAGACCTAAGCTTTTGTATAAAATAAACTTAAAACATAAAAAAGGAATCCGTCCGACGGGGGACACTTGAAAGGGAAAACAAAATTGTTATTTTTATTTAATTCCGAGCATTTTTATATTTATCTACCTTTTAAACCTTTTCTGGACTTTCATAAATAATTCAAGACCAAAATTAGCCAACTCGGTCCAGCCGTTCTCGAGTTTTAGCGAGACTAACGAACAGCAATTCATTCATAATAATGCATTACAAGAAATTGAAAGATGTAATCAGCGGTATTCACCAGGAATTATTAAGTTGAACATCAGCTCATGCACTGCCATTGTTATGCCGCTTAATGTTTCGGTTTTATTTTTGTCAATATGAAAAATAACAATTTTGTGTTTTATTTTCGCATTTGGTAACTATTTCAGAGGGATCGAATTTAAACGATTCCGTCTCAAATACTAAGTATATGATCTATGATTCCGTTGCAAAAACGACAAACGTAAAAAGTCAAGTTATTCTAAAAAACAAGTACCGTACCTACATATCTACCTCTATTACAAACCTATTACATACTTTAGAAATAAATTTATAGACGTCGCTACATAACTGGTAATATGACAATTAATATACTCAATTCATACTAGAAATATTCTGAGCCGATATTGATTTATGATTTTTTTATCGGTAATATAGGCATTTCATCATTGCTTTTGGACCGTTAAAAAAGATTAATAATTCTTTATCGTCACAGACACAAAAACGAGATGCGCTTAGAAAAAGCGTTTCGGTTTGAAGGGTGGGGCAGCCGTTGTAACTGTACTGAGACCTTAGAACTTTATCTCAAGCTGGGTGGCGCATTTACGTTGTTGATGTCTATGGGCTCCAGTAACCACTTAACACCAGGTGGGCTGTGAGCTCGTCCACCCATCTAAGCAATAAAAAAGCGGCATTGAAAAAAGCATTTTCATTATTTTTATTTTTATTACATACTAGATTTAATTATGCACAAATAAATATCAAAGAAGCCGAAGTTATTATACTTACAGATTACCTCAAGAACTTGCGATTTTGACTATGTATAGAACGATTAAAATATATAAATAAGATAGAATAATTTGTGAATATGTACACTTCGAACAGTTCACGNAAAAAAGCGGCATTGAAAAAAGCATTTTCATTATTTTTATTTTTATTACATACTAGATTTAATTATGCACAAATAAATATCAAAGAAGCCGAAGTTATTATACTTACAGATTACCTCAAGAACTTGCGATTTTGACTATGTATAGAACGATTAAAATATATAAATAAGATAGAATAATTTGTGAATATGTACACTTCGAACAGTTCACGGTTTAAATTTGTCCGATATAATACTGAAGTACATTTGATACAACAATCAAAACACACAGCAATTCAAAAATGGAGTATAATGGGTTTTTATATATCAACTATCTGACCCGGCAGACTTTTTAGTGCCTCAATCGATAAATAAAAGACCGAAACTTTTGTAAATAAACTTAAAACAAACAAAAGGAATACGTCCGACGGGGGACACATCAAAGGTTTATTTTATTTTTATTGCTTAGATGTGTGGACGAGCTCACAGCCCACCTGGTGTTAAGTGGTTACTGGAGCCCACAGACATCTACAACGTAAATGCGCCACACACCTTGAGATATAGTTCTAAGGTCTCAGTATAGTCACAACAGCTGCCACACCCTTCAAACCGAAAGGCATTACTGCTTCACGGCAGAAATAGGCGGGGCGGTGGTACCTACTCGTGCGGACTTACAACAGGTCCTACCACCAGTAAAACAAAATTGTTATTTTTATTTAATTCTGAGTATTTTCATATTTATCTACCTTTTAAACCTTCTCTGGACTTCTACAAATAATTCAAGACCAAAATAAGTCAAATCGGTCCAGCCATTCTCGAGTTTTAGCGAGACTAACGAACAGCAATTCATTTTTATATATACAGATGAGTTTAATATATTAAGTTGAAACAAATAAAACAACATAAAATTAGACACAATTAAAAGACTTACTCGCGTTGACTTAGTTAGACTAGATTGGATTGGAAATGTTGTCAATTATAATAATAATATAATACATTTATCGCATTATTATTATTCATTTAGATTTTACCTTCTACGAATGTTGTGAATGGTGTCCGCGATTTGCGGAATCTTTTAAGTAGGTAGGTAGACATAATATATTTATAATAAACAGGTTTTGTTGTAAACTATGAGAGACTCACTCGTCGACGGACTCCGTTTTAATCTCCACATTAGTAGTGAGTCTTGTTTCATTAAGACTTTGATTTTCAACTTTTAAAATTCCGTCCTTGATAACCTCTAAAATATGACAAACTTCTAAAGATTGCGGTGTGTACTTCTGAAATAATTCTCCGTTCAAAGCGACCTCTTCTCGAGCGATCCTCTTCATGTTCTGCCATTGTGTTTTAACTTTCTTTATCGAACTTCCTTGAAATTTGGTTCCATATTTTACCGATAATTCCCGTAAGATTTCGTTCCAAGCGATATCTTTCTCCTCGGAATAATTAGGCCCATTGTTATTTTTCGTAACGACGACATCTTTACGCACTTTTATTAATTCAAGAAGATATTGTTTCTCTGCTTGTGTCCAATTCGGGGTCCTTAAACGTCGATTGTTAGGCACTTTACCCATTTTAAACGTATGCGACGGGTTGTGATTAATCTTCTGCAACGATTTGTTGCAAACAATACACTCAATGTCTAAAATTATTTGGTTCCACATTTGAAAACAAATGAATGTACTTATAAATTATCGGTTTGACAAGCGACAGTTCAAAGGCATTAGTTAATTAAAAACTTATTTCTGAATTTTAAGTCTCATAGTTATTTGATTATTAGTTTAATTATGAATTATGTGCTATTGACCAACATTAGTATCAATTCAAGTTGGCTTTGAAATGACTGTTTAAAAACATTTGAAATTTTGAATGTTAAAAATGTAGATAATCTATATTTGAATATAATGTAATTCTAAGCAATCTTGGTAGTCTAACTGGCCAGTAATATTTGTAAAAGAAAATAAAACTGGCAGTGAACCTTATTTTTCTTAAACTACATTCAGCTTGGACTGAATAAANACATTAGTATCAATTCAAGTTGGCTTTGAAATGACTGTTTAAAAACATTTGAAATTTTGAATGTTAAAAATGTAGATAATCTATATTTGAATATAATGTAATTCTAAGCAATCTTGGTAGTCTAACTGGCCAGTAATATTTGTAAAAGAAAATAAAACTGGCAGTGAACCTTATTTTTCTTAAACTACATTCAGCTTGGACTGAATAAAAACTATCAACTAAAATTAAAATTTTATGTTTTTCTTTGAGAACCTATAAAGTTGTCGTCTAAAGAACTCTACGTCCAGTGTGTAAGTATCGAATCATGTCTGGCTATGGCGGTATTGAAGTTGCACAGGTAGGTCCGATTTTTTTCAGAAAATACATATTCTACACATGTATTCCACGATGAAGGAATAACGTCATTTGATAAAAATCAAACCTGATGTTAGTGATGTACTGGTGCAAGGCATTCGTTGCGATTTCATTTTAGATATGTTCCAAATAAATTAAAATCAGTAAGCATAATGAAACAATAGAATAGCATGTATGTGTAGAAAAGTGCTTCTTTATCTGTTTATTGGACATCTTGAAGTTGATGAAAATGACGATTAAAGATTCCGTTATATACAAACAAATATAATGTACAAAATAAAATAAAAACCTAATAAAAGCGTGTTAAAAAAGTTCCATCACTACAATTCTCAGAAAACTGTATAATTAATAAGGAGTTGCTTATTATACAATCAATATGACCTATTAAACACGGAACTTAGTCGATTTGTATTAAATAACAGGTCTTTAAAAAAACTAGAACATAAACGTGAACTGGCTTAAACTGGTGTCGAATTGCTAAATAAATTAGTGCTTAATTCAGTAGGAAAACTAGGTTACACAGTAAAAAATATTTTAATTTTAATAAAGTTTTTTTTTAGGGGCCAGCTCCGAACCTCACACGATGTTCACGCACGTGAGATGCGCGCGTTATATGTAGGATCCGGTGTTCGAAGATGGTAAAGACCCATTAAATGACTCCTTTTTTTTATTGCCCATTTTGTCAGACGAGTCATACGGCCCATCGGGTGAGTGATTACCGTCGCTCGTGGACGTCAGCAACGCCAGAGGCAGAGCCAAGCCAAGCTACCTACCGCTTAACCTCCACGAGCCTTGTTCGATGAATAATTCCTTTGAGAATAACCCAACGTTAGCCAGGAGTCTAACAAGATGGGTCAAGGGATAGGGCTTAGTCGATGGACGTCGTGGGTAACAAACTCGTGGTTTGATTTTTTTTATTGCATTGATGGATGTACGAGCTCACGGCCCACCTGATGTTAAATGGTCACCGGAGTCCATAGACATCTACAACGCAAATACTGCCACCCACCATGAGATATGAGTTCTAAGGTCTCAGTATAGATACAACGGCTGCTCTACCCTTCCAACTGAAACGCATTACTGCTTCACGGCAGAAATAGGTAGGGTGGTGGTACCTACCCGCGCGGACTCACAAAAGGTCCTACCACCAGTAATTACGCAAATTATAATTTTGCGGGTTTGATTTTTATCACATGATGTTATTCCTTCACCGTGGAAGTCAATCGAAAACATTTGTTAAGTACGTATTTCATTAAAAAATTGGAACTTGCCAGCGGGATTCGAACACCGGTGCATTATCATCATCATCATCATCATCTTATTCTTTATGCCACGATGACTTCAGCAAAAGCTAAAAGGGCTACTAGTCTGTCCTTATGATTTAAAAAGTCATATTATTTAATTTACCCTCGTTAGGTACTAGAAATGAATTTTCTATATAAATTTTGATTAATCTACTATTCTTACTTTGAATACAAATATATTATAATAGAATCTCGTATTCATTATTTTCGTATTAAAATTCGTAATTATGTCAAACCTGATTTAGTTTTTGATTGTTACTAGTAAATCAGTCGAACATAATTCACGATAATTATTTATTTATTCATAGAAGTCGTGTATTTTCTATCAAGTAATTATATTTATTTAAGTATATTGATTTTATGTTTACGACTCATTTATTTAGTCTCCCATAGAGATATGCCGTGTACTGAACAATTTATGAATTTAATTTTCAAAACTACGGATGGAATAAAATAATGTAGCTTTGAAAGACATCGTGTCTTCTTTTAAGTTGACAGCAGTTTAAAAATCTGGATTTTAGTTATAGCCCAAGAGCCCACGATGGCCAGACCTTCGTTATTTTATAAAAGCTGAAAGTTATGTATGTGTCCAACACAGGTTTTTTTTTCCTACCTATGCTGATAGCCTTGAGAGGCTATTTCAGCTTCACCCTAACATGTAGGTGAGCTTATGGGGCTCAAACCGGAAGTGTTGCTTGCACTGACCCTAGCAAGAGTAGTGCTTCGCAAAATCTACCACCGGCTCACGGTAAGAACGACCTACGACTATAGAGTTTCGATTGTGGTTACTTGGGCAGGTAACAGGTAGTAAAGCTATATAAACTAGTACCTTAAAATTCTTTAAAGTATAAAGTTTTTTTTTTAAATATTTTTTCCTGAATATCTTTCTTCTTCTCAGTCGTATGCACTCTTGGCAGAGTGGTCGTGGTCACCACTTCGGTTGGTGGTGTGCTTCACCAGACGTCGCCATTCCTCGCGTACCGCGGCCATTCTTGTGCACTCGTTAACGGGACCGTTTAGAGCTGCCTTTATTTGGTCGATCCATCGTGACGGTGATCTGCCGCGCGGTCTTGTACCCTCTATCATGCCTTGTGGTGCCACAAGGCGCTCAACTGAGTTGTCACCCCGCCGCGATACATGCCCGAAGAAAGTGAGAATGCGACCCTGAACGATGGAGGATAGTCGCTGCTTGATGCCGAGTTCCTGTATAATTGACTGATTCGTTCTAAACTCCGTCCACGTTATTTGCAGCATTCTTCTCCAGCACCACATTTCGAGAGCATCTATCCTCTTTTTCTCACTTTCTCTCAATGTCCAGGTCTCAGCAGCATAAAGAAAAATGGGGAAGACCAGCGCTCTTACAAGTCTGATTTTATTGCATTTAGTGATATTTCGATGCCCCCATATTTTCTTCAGCCTGTCCATGGCTGACCTCGAAACAGCCATACGCCGCTTGATTTCATCAACGCACCCGCCAGTGTTCGATATCAGTGCACCGAAGTAAATGTATGACTGTACGACATCGCAGTTCGCAATTTTTGTGACCTCTGGCGAGTTATTATTAGCACGGTCGACAATCATGACACTTGTTTTGTTGCGGTTAATTTTAAGTCCGAAATCAAGACTGACGCGTTCCACTCTACCGAGTAGCTCTTCCATCTGGCTAACACCTGACGCGACTAAAGTAATGTCGTCTGCGTAACGAAGATTTGAAATCTTCCGACCTCCGATAGTTATTCCATCCGACCAGTTTTCGAGGGCGATTCTCATTATAAGCTCCGTATATATATTGAGCGGTGATATAATACACCCTTGGCGAACTCCTGCGCTAGGGTGGAAGTGACGCGATAGAATGTCATCTATTCTAACTGAAGCTGTTCCTTCCTCATAGAGTCGCCTCAGCAGATGGACCAAGTGTTTGGGGGTACCCATGGCCAAAAGAGTTTCCCAAAGTTTTGGCCATTTGACAGAATCAAACGCCTTAGAGAAATCCACAAAGCNCGGTGATATAATACACCCTTGGCGAACTCCTGCGCTAGGGTGGAAGTGACGCGATAGAATGTCATCTATTCTAACTGAAGCTGTTCCTTCCTCATAGAGTCGCCTCAGCAGATGGACCAAGTGTTTGGGGGTACCCATGGCCAAAAGAGTTTCCCAAAGTTTTGGCCATTTGACAGAATCAAACGCCTTAGAGAAATCCCCAAAGCATAAGTACGTAGGCTTGTTGAATTCCCGGGATTTTTCGATGATCTGTCGAACGGTTAATATTTGTTCTCGTGTACCTTTACTCTTCACAAAGCCGGCCTGTTCAGGAGCAATTTCTTTAGAGAGGTACGATTTAAGGCGCTCGTTAACTATACGCAGCAATATCTTGCATGCGTGTGGAATCAACGCTATGAGACGATAATTACTGCAGCTTTTTGTCGAGCCTTTTTTATGCAGTGGCACGAAAACAGTATGAACCCAGTCTTGGGGCCAAGTTCCAGACTGCCATATTTTATTACACAGGGTATGGAAAATTTCAACGCCATGCTCCCCAGATGCCTCAATCGTTTCAATTGGAATGGCGTCCTTCCCTGTGGCTTTCCCTTTCTTAAGAAGTTTTATTGCAACCCTTTATATCTTTAGAAATCACGATATCCATTGCCGGACACTTTTTACAGTTGGTACCCCCTACCAGACACCCCCAGTCTGGCTGTCGCGGGCTCTTGCTCTATTATACAGATATATTAAATATGGGCATTAAGTATTTACATTAAATAGTAAAATTAAAATAAAATATAATACCAAGAACCGATTCAAGCCATTTAAAAGTCTTCTTCAAATGTCTTAAATACTAAAGTTTATTTATAATGTGATAATAATACAACAAATTTTATTATCCATGTCATTGTCATTGACAGCTTATTATCGTGATGATTTTATTATTATTCTCGTATTTGGACGTCTTTAAACTTTTATTACTAAGTTTTAAAAATATTTATAGGATCAGTGATAAGAAGACTAAGAAACCCGCTCCACTGAGACTTTTTTTCTTTTTTTTTTGTTGCTTAGATGGTTGGACGAGCTCACAGCCCACCTGGTGTTAAGTGGTCACTGAAGCCCAT